CCGCTCGAAGTCAGGCGGGAGAAGGCAGTCCTTACGATGGTAGAACGCTACCGATGCATGGAAAGGGAAGAACCCTGTTTCCAATTACAGGAAAAATGGGTAAAAAAGTCCAGATTGAAGAGACCATCCTTCATGGACACGGTGCACAGTCTTGAAGAAGACGTAATTTTACCCGGAAACAGGGAAAAAGTGAAAGTGATCCCAGCGCGGGGACCTCACAAAAGCCTCTCCCGGCCAGACATTCGACTGGACATGATTGACACCAAAGCCAGCAAAAACAGTCCTCAACTAGAACCATCAGAGGCTGTACGACGCACGATTGAAGCTACCCGAACAGCCTGGTTAAAGTCTTCACAGACGGCTCGTGCTTTGCGAGGGAAAAGCGTAGTGGCTACGGTGCCCCCATCCAGTATCCCGCAGAGATAGCCCCACCCGAGGAGCTATCCGGCCCAAGCGGAAGTAATGCAACGAGCCTCGATGTGGAAATCGAAGCGATACTGGTAGCTCTCAAGAGGGTTCACCAACGGCTAGCGAAAAGAAATTCCTTCCCGGACGTTGTGGTCTTCACCGACTCTCGTTCTGCTCTCGAACACATGGGGGGGGGGGGATCAGTGGGATCAAAAATGGTTACAGCTGTTCTGGAAACAGTAGGCTCCATCCATGCACATGGCTCTAAGGTAGTCTTACAGTTTATCGCTTTGCACTTAGAGGCGTCGCCTCCTGACAGGGCGGATTTCTTAGCCAAAGAAGGCACTGCCCTACCTCAACCAAACAAACCCATGACTCAGCTGGGAGTCACGGCCTGGGTAAAAGACCATTTCAAGGAGAAATGGCACAGAAGGTGGGACACGGTGGCCACTGGACGACAGCTTTACCAGAAAATGCAGCAGCCGAGCAAAAGTGACCCCTGGTGGGAACTTAGTCGTGGAGAACAAAGCCTTATCACGCAGATGAGAACTGGGCACTGCGCGACGCGCAGTTACCTCCACCGACTCGACAACAGAAGGGAACCATTGTGCCGACTGTGTGGACTAGACAGTAGCCCACTTGGTGGTCACGTGTCCGAATAGTGGGATGGGGGCCGACGGTAGGAATCCGGAAGCCTGCCTCAATGAACTCCTTTACGGTAGCGCCCAGCAGATGAGGCGCGCCGTGGAATATTATTTTCTTCTAATTGTTATTTTAGTACATGATTTCAGATACTATTGAAATGTTCTCAAGTAGAACGTAGACTTTTGAAAAAAATAATTCCCCAAATCACTGTTTTACTGAGAAATGATCTCAAATTATATTTATAGCCATCAGCTAACATCGGAAATTCTTTTTTGTCTCTTGTCTAAAATAAGTGCTTCCTTATACCGCAGCCTAGTGTATTTATAAGACTTATTAAAGAAACACATGAAGGACACAGTGTGCGGTGAGCATTGAAAATAAAGCTAGTAATGGAGGAACTAATTTATTTTCTGCCATAGTGTCGAATTATTCCGCCTTGAAAAAAAATTGACACAGCCTTGGCTTATACCATGGATTCTTAAACGTTTCGATCAGGGGGTCGGTTCGCTGTCCCTCAAACACTTGGCGGCGCCGTTTCCCTGCCCCCCCCCCTTTTCCCCCCAGAACACTGTTTTTTGAAACAAAAACAAAAAAAGGAACGAATTCTAATGCATGCTGCACAAAGCTGATATGTAGTGATAAAACACAGGTGTTGGGATACAATGCATATAATAAATAGAAAAAAACAACAAAACAACACATTTGTAAATAAAAACTTGTTTGTATTGAACTCGGACGAGTGGGTCTGATTTTTGGCTAAATACATGGTCAATTATCAGACTCCATTTCTGGCACCGTTTGTGTCTTTTTTTGGAGGTCGAGGCACATTTTTAATATATATTTTGTTGCCATTAACTACTTATATCCTTGTGCCATCTCGACAAACACAGGTATTTGTGTATTTATAACCAACGTTTCTTGCACCTAAGGTTTTACATCCAGTTTCATTCTCAATGCAAACTTAATCATCTTAAACATTAGATTATTCATGCTATAATAATGAATTCACAAATTTGTCAACATCAAAGTATCCACGCTTATAATTCTTCACATCATGACCCTTTTCAGACTACTCCTTTGTCATTGCACTGAAAGATTTGTTTAGTGAAACATCGAAACAAGGATCCACGGTACAGACACAAATTGTATGTCAGGTAATCGTATCGGATGTACTCAGAACGTTTTTTTTTTTTTTTTTAAAAGGGTGGGGGGGGGGGGGGGCAACAATGTCAGTTGCCTTACATGATTATGAAATGTGTACTTATTTTTTGCACAATCTAATATCCAAATTATTATTCATGCATAAGCTATTTTAAATGCAATAAAATAACATCACAAGAGTGTTTCCAAGTACGTTGTAAATCTTATTGTAGAGCATGAAAGGAAGGAGAAAGAGCAGACAAAGAGTTGAAGTAGGGGTCAGGTTCCAATAGCCGCCCATATCTATTGTTCTATACAACAAGCTATTACAAAATGATCTGATGCTGGGACAGGGTCGAGCAAACAGTTTCTGGACGCCCAAGCTGTAGGAATATGTGAGGCTCTAATTGCCCATTTTCCTGCACCTTGCCAAAAAATAATGTTGTTTAAAATCAGCACGGAGTTGGTTACTATATATATAGTCTGAGTTAAATTTTTATTGAGTTTCATAGTCAACTCTCCAATTAAATAAAAAGCAACATTTAGAGAATTTACCAAGGTCTAGGGTAGTGGTTCTCAACCTTTCTAATGACGTGACCCTTTTATACAGTTCCTTATGTTGTGGCAACCTCCAACAACAAAATTATTTTCGTTGATGCTTTACAACTGTAGAGTATATGTGTTTTCCGTTGGTCTTAGGCGACCCCCGTGAAAGGGGGTCGCGACCCACAGATCTAGGGGCTGGGGATAGTTCCACTTTCCCCACGTACGGAGGGGAGGGGGGAAGTGATCTATGTTCCTGACTCGGATAAACGAGTATTATCCCACCCGGTATCATAGTGTATGTGTTCAGTTACCTTATCATTGTGTATGTGTTCAGTTACCTTATCATTGTGTATGTGTTCAGTTACCTTATCATTGTGTATGTTTTCAGTGACCTTATCATAGTGTATGTGTTCAGTTACCTTATCATTGTGTATGTGTTCAGTTACCTTATCATAGTGTATGTGTTCAGTTACCTTATCATAGTGTGTGTGTTCAGTTACCTTATCATTGTGTATGTGTTCAGTTACCTTATCGTAGTGTTTGTGTTCAGTTACCTTATCATTGTGTATGTGTTCAGTTACCTTATCATTGTGTATGTGTTCAGTTACCTTATCATAGTGTATGTGTTCAGTTACCTTATCATAGTGTATGTGTTAAGTTACCTTATCATTGTGTATGTGTTCAGTTACCTTATCATTGTGTATGTGTTCAGTTACCTTATCATAGTGTATGTGTTCAGTTACCTTATCATTGTGTATATGTTCAGTTACCTTATCATTGTGTATGTGTTCAGTTACCTTATCATTGTGTATGTGTTCAGTTACCTTATCATTGTGTATGTGTTCAGTGACCTTATCATTGTGTATGTGTTCAGTTACCTTATCATTGTGTATGTGTTCAGTCACCTTATCATTGTGTATGTGGTCCAGCCAATGGGGTGAAATGAAACGTAGATACATTTTTAGAGGATTTCTTGCACATCTACCTGAATTCAATAATTAATAATAACAGAAAGCTGCCCAGCAATTGGTGCGAAACTAAATACATGCAAAATGAAAATGCAGAGCTGTAAAAATAATATTGAACTTGTTGCGAATGTTGTGTAATTTGTCTTTATCGGACAATATGCATATCTTTGGTTCTGGCTATGGCATTTTCTATTTATATTGAAAAGTTCATGTCACACGCTGACTGGATGATGATATCGAGTAGCCAAAGTATTTGTGTTTGGGATAGGTCTTAATTCTGTCACAAAATTCGATCATTTTAAGTTTTATCTAGCATTCTTTTTTAATAAATAAAGCTGAAGGAAGGATAACTTCGGTGATATTATAAATGAAAACTTCCAACGAGTGACCATCGATACCAAAGCATTTAGCGAAGCTCCGCTCCATGTTTGATTTGTTATGTTTATGAGTTAGGAAAGTGGGTATCAAACTGTGGGGATTGTCTGACGAAATGTCAGGGGTTGCTTGAGAATGGCAATACCTTTTTTTTTATTAGTTGAATATTTATTTCAAAATTTAAATACTATTCACAGTGATATAACTTGTTTCTTATTGTTACTTTACTGTGACTACATAGAAGTTAAATCAATTTTATTTCTTTTAAAATTATAACTCATTCTTTTCATATTTTAACAAATAGCTTAATATAGGATTTTAATTTGTTGTTTTTTTTTTTCTTATTTTCCCTTTTTTTGTGTGCATGGCCTAAACCTAAAGGTTGGGATCTTCCAGGGAAATTTTTAAACAGGTGTGTGAATTGATCAAAACCGTAACCAAGTTTGTAAATTAATCAAAGCTAAAAGCAGTTGAGTGAATTTATCAAAATTATTACGAGGGGTGTGAATTAATAAAATCTATAACCAGCTGTGTGAAATGATCAAAACTATAATCATGTGAATGAATAGATAAAAAACATATAACCAGGTGAGTGATATCATCAAAACTATAACTAAGTGAGTTGCGTGTACAAAAATATAACCAGAAGTGTGAATTGATCAAAACAATATTTCTTCGTCTTCTTTTCTGTTCTTTTATCATTTCTAAAGCTAAGCTAACCTAGTAAGGCCCCCCATGATACTCTATTAGTATTGGGCATTTGACAAATCTATAAAATATAAATATTTAAAATCCATATCTGTATTAACTTTCGTAAAAATTGAAAGTGATAATTATATCTATTAACATTAATGACAAATTACAAGTCGTAGCTTTAAAAAACAACATTGTATTAAATAAATGAACAGAAAACATATGTTTAGCATACATATTTTATTGACATTTAAAGACAAGCTAGTGTTAATGAAGATAACAAAATTGATTTGTAATTTTAAAATTGTGCACGCTCTAAACACTTCAAATATTATTTTTTAAGTTCAAATTATACTTTTACAAAACCAAATTATTTATCTTATATAAATTATACATATTTTATTTCTTTAAAAAATCAATTACAATTTATGATGTTGAGGAAGCATCTTTTCATATATAACTCTACTCCTATCTTTGTATTTTGTATTTCAATGTAATATAATACAATTTTTTTTTCATTTCTCTTTTAATATTGTTGACTTTGTAGCGCGCTTCGAGCCTTTGGGGATGAAGCTTGATTTTCAAATCTCTATCTATAATTGGCCAGCAAAGGTCAAACACCAACACGGTTCAAGCACCACGCAGGCTATTTATAGATATGCCAGAGTGTGGTGCAATAATGAGCTCACTGGCGCGCAAAATATAATTCCCGATAACTGCGCTATATATGATATATATTTTTTTTAAATAACGCAATTGCGTTTGGTGCGTAATATTTTCTTTTCGTAAAATGAAATCGTCTCAAGTAACTTTAGTAGATGGGAAGTTCACGCATTGCTACCACCAATGTTTGGCGGGCTATAACTAGTAAACTTTATTTTTATTATTATTATGATCTATTAAACCAATATGGCGCCAATAGCACGTGTGTGCATGACGTCGACAGCATGGTAATTTATATTTCGTCACGTCTATTAAAGTTAAAATCGTTTATTATAATTTTTTGTTTAATTAGGGAATAGATTATTTCACGAGGATTATATGGTAAAGATATATTTCAAAATCCTAACAATCACAGAAAAAAAAAATTTAAAAAGTTAAGAAATGGTGGATATAAGTGTAAAAATTAATTTAAATAAGCCAAGTATATTTGTCAAGGAAACATGGAAACACAATTTGAAATACCGAAGTCAGTCGTAGTCTCCAATCCGTTGATGGTTAACTACGCATTTTTGTCCCAGGCCTTATTATTCACATCGTCCTCAAATTAACACAGTGATGCCAGGAAATAAAGGTCCTGATAAATGTGAAGTACAATTTAAATGAAGGCACATCCCTCTCTAATCAGTATGTGGTATTATTCTTTTTAAACGTTAGCTTGGTACAATTTTTAATTTAAGGATGTAAAAACATATTTTTTGTTAATAGACCCCTACATAGTGTTCACATTTTAAAGAAATACAACTTTACAGCAGTGGCGTAGCTAGGGTTGGTGCCTTCAGAATGGAGCAAGATTTTTGCCGCGCCCTCCCAAGCAACAAACAAAAAAAAAAATCCACTTAGCCTAAAAATGCCAGCCCCTTTTATATGGAGAGGAGAGTGTCACCCATTGTGAACGGTCCACTCCCCATGTCATAGCTTTACAGGGATCTGGAGACCGTTTCGATGTTTGCAAAGTTCTTTTCGATTTCGTCGGAGGAACAATCCATTCATCGATATGGATTTTATTTTTTACAATTGTTATATGTGCATATTTCTTCCAGCGTGTACTAAAACTTAAAGTTAGCATACATAGCTTTGAAAATACGCTTAAAGATTCCATAACAAAGAATAAACATTCTAAATTTCATGATAATATTTCATGTATTCAAGAAAACAAGAATGTTCTTTATCAAAACGTGTGTTAAAATAATTAAATCCTAAACTGAAAATTGCAAAAAATGTATCGAAAATACGCTCAAAAACTAAATAATTTCAGCTCAAATTAGCTTAACGGTTTCCCGCAATTAACAACTGCTGTGTTGTATAAAGATTATTGCTTTAGGCAAAATTGTTTCTTTTACAAAAAGTTGGTTATTATTTTTGGTTTACCAGTGCTTTCAATAAAAGATAATAAATATTTTTTTTTTTTTAAATTTCACGTCTAAAGAGGTCCTTGTACAAATAAAATGAACATTTTAGCAGGTCAATAGATTTCGCTTTACATAAAGATAGCTCCAGGTCAATTGGTCAAAATACATCGTCCAAAAAGAATAGTAACATAATTCCTCGTGAAAATAAACATTTTTTATCTGGTTCTTTTTCCTACAGCTGCTCTATTGAACATAAATTTCAAACTATAATTTATTTGAATATTATAATTTATGTCTACTGTGATTATTGACTGTTAACTATGTATTCATACAATTACAAATAAATTATATATTCATAGTTTAAAAATTATAATTGGAGAAATTTCATAAAAAGAAAAATATTAATGTTATCATATAATTTTTTGAAAAAATAACATGCTTTTTTTGAAAATGTAAATATGCACAATATAAAATAGCCATACAAATTAAATTATAATTATATAATGTTTCACGCCACTGATATTATATAAAATTAGGCCACATCTACAATAAATAAAAATCAAATAAAAATAACATTACTTCTAAACTGTTCCTTTTAGCCTAAATTAAACAAATTTAACAAATATTTTTTAATATATAATTAGAATCTATCTCGTAAAATAATTTACACAACTTTAAATGAACATATCATTTAGGAATTCTTTTTTTTTCAACATCATCTTCACAATATTGTTACTCATGGCAAAAATGACACGTGGGGTACTGATCTCGGATGACCCCCTCAAACTTCTTAGCGTGCTCTGAGTCCCTGGTCTCTACAACACACGTGACCTGTTGATGCGATACGAATGACGTGAAACATATACACAAATCAGGCTCAATAAATAGAAGAGAGAGAGAGAGAGAGGGGGGAGGGGAGAGGGAGGAGGAGCGAAGGAGAAGGGAGAAAGCAATGGAGAGAGACATACATATATAGAGAGAGGGAGAGAGAGAAAGATGTGATGGTATGATATGTGAAAAAATGAGCAGAGAAAATGAACATTAGAAATATAATGGCTTCCACCCCTCCCCCCCCCCACCCCCCCCCCCATTTTTAGCCATGCCAAGTTTAATGCGTTTATGGTTTTTACCTATGAATAATTCATTTACCTTTCCAGAGAATACGTCATTGTTTTCCAAGCCCCTTCCAGTGCTTGATGCTATCAATCTAAAATACCGGGTAACAACATTTGAAGCATTAACATAGTTTTGGAGAAAAAAAAATATGTATCGATGAACTTTAATCAAAGTCTTCATCACATCCAATCAGCACAGACCCACCGTTATACCCACTTGAGCTGAACTACCTCAAATAACAGTACAGACAATTTCGAAATATTTGCTGAAAAATTTTACGGATAAACTATAATTTTATCACGTCTTTTTTCATCTCATCATTTCCTTTCATTTCATCTCATCATCTCATCTCATCATCTCATCTCATCATCTCATATCATCATCTCATATCATCATCTCATATCATCATCTCATATCATCATCTCATATCATCATCTCATCTCATCATCTTATCTCATCATCTAATGCCATCATCTGATGTCATCATCTAATGTCATCATCTCATCATCTCATCAACTCATCTCATCTCATAACTCATCTCATCCTAAAATCTTATAATCTCATCATCTCATCATCTTATCTCATCATCTTATCTCATCATCTTATCTCATCATCACATCTCATCATCTATGCTATTATCTAATTTCATCATCACATCTTATCATCTTATCTCATCTCTTCATCTCATTTAATCATCTTATATCAACATATAATGTCATCATCTCATCTAATAATCTCACCTCATCATCTTATAACATTTCTTCATCATCATATCTCTTCATCTCATCTCATCATCTAATCCCATTTCATCATCTCATCTCATCTTCTCAACTCATCATCTCATCTCAGCTTCTCATCTCATCATCTCATCTCATCATCTCATCTCATCATCTCATCGCATCATCTCATCTCATCATCTTATCTCATTATCTTATCTCATCATCGCATAATCTCATCTCATCATCTCATCATCTCATCTCATCATCTCATCTTATCATCTCATCTCATCATCTTATCTCATTATCTCATCTCATAATCACATCTCATCATCTTATCTCATCATCTTATCTCATCATCTCATCAACTAGTTTCATCATATAATGTCATAAATTAATCTCATCATCTCATCTCATCCTCTCATCATCTTATCTCATCTTATAATCTCATCACCTCACTTCATCATCTAACCATCTCATCTCATTATTTCATCATATCATTTCTTCACTGTTTATCATATCTGATCTCAGCCTCAGGCCCAAAGTCTTACCTTGCTCCCTGACCACCTACAAGGGCAGTAAGCCTTGTCAACGCCCCAGGAGTATCTGGCAACTCCACTTCAAATCTCATCATCTTGGAGTGTGGCTTTAATCCTTTTTCAATGACGTGTTTCAGGACGGACAGATCGATGTTGGCCCCGCACAGGACGACAACAACGCTAAGTGTGTGAAATAAAAAAAGAAACATTTACCACAGCCGTCGTATTCAAACATTTTTTAGGGGGGAAAACGAGCATCAAACTTTACACTAGAGAATTTAATTCTAGAATTATAATGATCCAAATCTTTACAACTTTACGATAAACTAACTGTTGGATGTAGAAAAGATTGTCTAAGCATCTAATAGTTTATAGAAAGGCAAACATTCATTATTTTTATTAACAGAGCCATCACGTGGTTTTTGCAACCGCTTCTGGTGCAAGGGGCCTCGGAAATTTAAGAGGCCCAAAGCTGTGATGTGGAAGAGAGAAAAAAAAAAACCTAAAAAAACGTTGAGAAGTGAAAAAGCCCCCCCCCCCCCCCATTTTCAGCCAAAAAATGTTTAATTCTTTTAACGATTGTTGTCTATGAATAAATCATTTACATTTCCAGAGAATACGTCATTCTGCCCCCATGACATTATTAAACAACTCCCTTCAATTTAATTTATTTTGCTGTCTCTTAAAATAAAGCATTTCGCGTTCACAAAACATCTATGTTTTAAATCGTCTTGCTTGATTTTTATCGGGGACGTCTATAGATGACTTTTACTTACGTTTTCCCCTTTAACTGGGGAAGTTTCCCCTCAATAATGGCTGCTAAACCCGCAGCGCCAGCTCCCTCTACAACGATCTTTTCTTTCTCCAAGAGCTGCATCATAGTAGTCACGACGGAATCTTCCCTGGTTAGGAAAAACATGACAATTACATTTGGGGATCACCATTAAATTATTGAAAATAGGATTTTCTACCTTTTCTTTTCATAAATCTTGTTGCAATGAAACATGTCAAATTAATATCTAGAGTTATATCTGATAATGGACATCATTCCGTTGAGGCTTTCATTTGAGTTGTAGTTGCCCCCAATACCTGCTCAGAGACGGATTTGGCTCCAATACCAGCTACGAGATGTAGGAGGCTTTAAATACCTGCTAGGAGACAACTCTACGAGGCGTCCGAATACAAAATAATCATAGTCGGGTTTGAAACATTTCCGAAAGAAATAAAGAGCTTTCAGGTCTCAGAAAATATTTTGTTAACATTTCAATGTTAGTTCCTCTAGGATGTCTTAGAAATATTACGGATGCTATACAAATAATGAACCAACGTTAACTAAATGTTAAACTTCCTGTAAACGATCTACCATTGATACGACTGATTAAGACATACGATTTCCTAATGATTCCCTAGATGTAGAAAACTCAGCGAAAACCAAGCATTGTTATCTTTTTAAAGGTTTCTGGAAATATGTTATTTAATACAAGAGAAGTATGTGACGTAGTTTTAGTTGAAACCAGAAATAAAATTCCTACTCACGTAACAGTAACAAGTTCTGTGATATGGGGCCCAGCTATGGCAAAGGCGTTAGCTCCAACTTGAGGAACAGATAACCCTAAAACACATTTTAAATTTCTCAAGAATGATTTGAAGAAAAAAACACACACAATTATAAAGCATGTAAAACGTTTTTGATTTTTTATCAAATATTTTTTGTCATCAATCTTAAACTAAAACGCGTAAATTCAAAGGCAACAAATGTATCTAAACTAAAACGCGTAAATTCAAAGGCAACAAATGTATCTCGTGCCATGACGCCCTGTGTCAATAGAGGTTATCACACGAGTCAGCTAGAACAGACGTATGTACCGTCAAAAAGTGACTTGGTGACTTCTGTCTTGACAGGTCTTCCTGCTTCTATGGCTGCTTTGAATGCAGTTGATGTTTCCAACTCAACACCCTGAACATACAACAACGAATTATTGGACATGGTACAGTACATTCTTTCATGGGACATGGCACAGTACCGGTACATTCTTTAATGAAACATGGTACAGTACCGGTACATTCTTTAATGGAACGGGTAAAAATATCTCGACTCTTAAATTTAAATTTAATCACAAATACTTATTCACTATTTCTGTATGTATGGCTGTCGCAATGTTTCTAATAGGCACGCAAAATAAAATATAAGTTATCCTTAGTCAGGATTCTTATAAAGTGCTACTTGTCAAGTGGCTTTAGAAGTTTGTAAGGTAACGCCTTGCTACCGCAGTCGTTCGACAGGTTATTTCTAATAAGTTATAAAAGGGACTGAAATTTCTAATAAGTTATAAAAGGGACTGAAATTTCTAATAAGTTATAAAAGGGACTAAAACACATTAAAAAAAATTTCATTTAATACCGGTAGCAAATGATAAAATCTTGACAGATATTTACAGAACTATTCCCGAGTTGTAAGAAAAGGCGCACATTTTTTTACATATCGTAAACATCAAACGGCGAGCAAAATAAAAAGTCTTTGTTGCTTACGTAAATTTCAATTTCAGGTTTCAGGTACTTCAGAGAAGCTGTGACTCCTGCTATCAATCCACCACCCCCAACGGAAACAATGACGGCGTCGATGTGGGGGAGTTGTTCAAAAATCTCACACCCCATCGTTCCCTGACCAGCAATAATATCGAGGTGATCGTACCTACAGGGGAAGAGATGGTGCGTGATTCAAGCAAAAGTTGTGCAAGAATGAATATGTGCTAACACGACAGACAATGATGAGTCATAATTATTGCAAATATTGTGTGCGAATTTATATTTGTTAAGGTCTGAATGTGTAGTAGAATGGTTGCTGGGATGTCATTCCATGTGCAGAAAAGAATATAGGTGTTAGTCTCCCAGTTTAAAATAGAAAATGACAGAGATCTACCAGCTGTCGGCATTGTCTTACAACTAAGAGATCTACCAGCTGTCGGCATTGTCTTACAACTAAGAGATCTACCAGCTGTCGGCATTGTCTTACAACTAAGAGATCTACCAGCTGTCGGCATTGTCTTACAACTAAGAGATCTACCAGCTGTCGGCATTGTCTTACAACTAAGAGATCTACCAGCTGTCGGCATTGTCTTACAACTAAGAGATCTACCAGCTGTCGGCATTGTCTTACAACTAAGTTTAGTGACATGCACAACAACTGAATGCACCAGTTAGTCACAGTTTGGTGATTATTGGCTCCTTAATAAACTTTAGTGTGCACTTGAGTTGTCATGTTGTTTAAGAACCCCTTCGGAAAACTATGTTTGACGGTTCCGGTTGATTTAGCTTTGTCAATAGCCGATGTACAAATACATTTCATGGGGCTTATAATTCAAGTAGGTTAGTATTTGACTCAAACGATCGTAAGGCATCCATTGGTGAAGTATCGGACGTATTACTCAGGATCTTGTGTGTTCAAAGTGTTCATTTATATACACATCTATCTAGAGTAGTTTACCCGTTCATGTAGAGCAATCCTCTTTCCTTTCCAAGTTGCATGGCATAGCGTTCAGCCTGAAATTAAAGTGGAAACTACTTTTTTTTCAACTGGAATAGCAGTGTAAAAAACAAAAAAACAACAACACTGAATTCATCTTTTGCTATATTCGTATCAGGAAATTTGTGGACAAAAAAGAAATGTGAAAACCAGAAAAAAAAAAGGACGTGTGGACAACATGCCTTCTTCGGGGAGCACTAAAAACAAAGAGAAAATCAAATGTAAAATATAAACATAGCTAATATGATGTATCTAAGAGGACAGAGGGAGGAATGTAGTAAACCATCAGTAGGTAAGACAGTAAGGGGTAAGAACGATAGGAAAGAAATACAATGTCTTTGGGCATAAAAAAGGAATGGGCAGAGAACTGTTTTTTTTTTTTACAAATCAAGAATATAGAATTTGTGACATATGCCCCTTTCCAGCAATCATGTATTTGTAACATCAGTAGATAGAAATACTATTTTTTATTTACCGTGTAATTCCGTCGAAGGTAAATACTCACTTCACCGAAGTCCTGTCCGTAAAGTTCAACACAAGCTTTGAGGTCTCTACATTTCTTGATTTTCGTAAGAGCGACGTTGGTAGGCAGGACGACGATCACGGGGATGTTAAGCTTTGAACCGGCGTAGGCCAAAGCCAGCGCGTGGTTGCCTGCACTTGCGGCTATAACACCTCTCTCACGCTGGTCCTGACCAATCAATACACACTTCAATGTTATCGTTCATTGTAGCATGTAAAAGCTATATTTAACGAACAAATATTTTCTATGGTATAATAACTGCTGAAGGCTTCATAGTCAAAACGTCCACGGTTTCCTGATGTTTACCCCTACGCCGTATGTTGTATTTCATATTGTTTAGATCAGATTGGACCCCTCCATTGATTACACTTAATTTATTGTTAATGACTTGAAGCATTTTATTGTGTGTGAATATTGGTTTACGAAATCTTGTTGAGTTTGAATGTGTAGGGTTACAGAGTTATATAGAGACAATACATAGAGGTTAAATGTCATTGTTACCTTTGACAGCTGGAGTAGTGCGTTGAATGCTCCTCGGTCTTTAAAACTGAAAGTTTAACAATAATTTCCTAAACATGCTAAAATTACACAGTATCTGAATTCGACAATATTGTTTTATGATTTAAATGTAATACTCTGTTTTATGTGAAACACATCGAACTTCTGTCTCATGTGCAACACATTGAAATTCTATCTGATGTGCCACACTTTGAACCTCATACTCATGTGCTACACATTGAAATTCTATCTGATGTGCTACACTTTGAACCTGAGACTCATGTGCAACACATTGAACGTCTGTCTCATGTGCAACACATTGAAATTCTATCTGATGTGCCACACTTTAAACCCCAGAATCATGTGCTACACATTGAACTTCTGTATCATGTGCAAAACATTGAACTTCTGTTTAATGTGCGACACTTTGAACCTGAGACTCATGTGCTACACATTGAACTTCTGTCTCATGTGCTACACATTGAAATTTTGCCTCATGTATAGCACACTTAACTTCTGTCTAATGTGCTACGTATTTAACCTCAGACTCACGTGCTACTCATGGAAGTTCCAACTAATCCAACTCATTGAGGTTCATTCTCTGATCATTGTCCGCCTTATGTTCTCGTAAATGACAATGAACACCTTGATAACTAAATTTACGTTTATTGATTTTGTATCGATCAAGTGCTAAAATATATAAATACAGTTGATCTCATAACACACGGCAGACATTTTTATGAAGATTTTTGATCCTATTCTTCATACAGTTAAGCAAGCTCAAAAACCCATGTTATAAGTATATAGTTGCTTTGTTGTTGTTTTTTTTGTTGTTGTTTTTTTTGGTTTCATATTTTTTTAAATCTTTCGAAAATGTCATTGAGAAATGAAAAGATATCAGAAAAAAAAAAGAAAGCTTGTCTCTCTATAGAGAAAATAAGAATATAAAATAAATTATCGGCAATATGTATTGATGAATAAATTGTACGTGTTTCATACCTGCCAGTCCGCTGAAGGAATTCCTTTTTAAAATGAAGCTTTAGTCCAAGACAGTCTGTAAAGATTTCCGAGAGCTGAAGAATATGAGACATTAATTTCTTAGGCAAAGATTACGCTTTCAAAAAAGTAAATTATATAAAAATTGTAATATTCAAAACACATCTAACAGCGCTGGCTGAAATCTTCTCATTATCCGTATTGCAAGTAATAGAGTTTCAGTTCAGCCATGCAAAATAATTTGGTGACAGCCTAGTGTTCCTAAATATTTAAGGTCTTTTAAGTGTCTTACCTCACATGGTGTTTTCTTGATGTAGCTTTCAATGCGTTCATTAGCCTCGCAGATTTTTTTGTATTCTTTTCCTAAGGCATCTTTGACCTCACCACAGTCTGGAGTTCTCAAACCATTTCCACAGCATCGTTCTTCCGTGGGACTGCCACAGACTTTATCACAGACTTTATCACAGACTTTATCACAGGCTTTATCACAGACTTTATCACAGACTTTATCACATACTTTATCACAGACTTTATCACAGACTTTTTCACAGACTTTATCACAGACTTTATCACAGACTTTATCACAGACTTTATCACAGACTTTGTCACAGACTTTGTCACAGACTTTGTCACATACTTTATCACTGCAACAGCTTGAGGCCCAGACATTGGTCTTGTCCCGTGAAGCACAGACATTTGTCTGGTCTCGTGAGGCACAGCCTTTGGTCTTGTTGCTTTCATCGTGGACGGGTTTACCTCCTTTACAACAGCATGTACAATAACAAGAGGCGCACTTTTTTCTTGTGCCACATTTATCGCTGGTGCTAGAGTCGCTTGGACAGCTCCACTCCTCAGCACTGCAACATATTTTGTCATATTTGGAGCCTTTGGCTTTATCCTTGCCACACTGCTCCGAGGTGCTCATATTACATGGACAGCAACCATCTTTATCCTTGCCACACTGCTCCGAGGTGCTCATATTACAGGGACTGCAACCATCTTTATCCTTGCCACACTGCTCAGAGATGCTCATATTACAGGGACTGCAACCATCTTTATCCTTGCCACAGTGCTCAGAGGTGCTCAAATTACATGGACAGCGACCATCTTTATCCTTGGCACACTGCTCCGAGGTGCTCATATTACATGGACAGCAACCATCTTTATCCTTGCCACACTGCTCCGAGGTGCTCATATTACAGGGACTGCAACCATCTTTATCCTTGCCACACTGCTCAGAGGTGCTCATATTACAGGGACTGCAACCATCTTTATCCTTGCCACAGTGCTCAGAGGTGCTCAAATTACATGGACAGCAACCATCTTTATCCTTGCCACACTGCTCAGTGGTGCTCAAATTACATGGACCGCAACCATCTTTATCCTCACCACACTGCTCAGAGGTGCTCAATTTACATGGACAGCAACAATCTTTATCCTCACCACACTGCTCAGAGGTGCTCAAATTACATGGACAGCAACCATCTTTATCCTCGCCACACTGCTCAGAGGTGCTCATATTACAGGGACAGCAACCATCTTTATCCTCGCCACACTGCTCAGAGGTGCTCATATTACAGGGACAGCAACCATCTTTATCCTTGCCACACTGCTCAGAGGTGCTCAAATTACATGGACAGGAACCATCTTTATCCTTGCCACAGTGCTCAGAGGTGCTCAAATTACATGGACAGCAACCATCTTTATCCTTGCCACAGTGCTCAGAGGTGCTCATATTACAGGGACAGCAGCCATCTTTATCCTTGCCACAGTGCTCAGAGGTGCTCATATTACAGGGACTGCAACCATCTTTATCCTTGCCACAGTGCTCAGAGGTGCTCATATTACAGGGACTGCAACCATCTTTATCCTTGCCACAGTGCTCAGAGGTGCTCATATTACAGGGACTGCAACCATCTTTATCCTTGCCACAGTGCTCAGAGGTGCTCATATTACAGGGACTGCAACCATCTTTATCCTTGCCACAGTGCTCAGAGATGCTCATATTACAGGGACTGCAACCATCTTTATCCTTGCCACAGTGCTCCGAGGTGCTCATATTACAGGGACTGCAACCATCTTTATCCTTGCCACAGGGCTCAGAGGTGCTCATATTACAGGGACTGCAACCATCTTTATCCTTGCCACAGTGCTCAGAGGTGCTCATATTACAGGGACTGCAACCATCTTTATCCTTGCCAAAGTGCTCAGAGGTGCTCATATTACAGGGATAGCAGCCATCTTTATCCTTGCCACAGTGCTCAGAGGTGCTCATATTACATGGACAGCAACCATCTTTATCCTTGCCACACTGCTCAGAGATGCTCATATTACAGGGACTGCAACCATCTTTATCCTTGCCACAGTGCTCAGAGATGCTCATATTACAGGGACTGCAACCATCTTTATCCTTGCCACAGTGCTCAGAGGTGCTCATATTACAGGGACTGCAACCATCTTTATCCTTGCCACAGTGCTCAGAGGTGCTCATATTACAGGGACAGCAGCCATCTTTATCCTTGCCACAGTGCTCAGAGGTGCTCATATTACGTGGACAGCAACCATCTTTATCCTTGGCACACTGCTCAGAGGTGCTCAAATTACATGGACTGCAACCATCTTTATCCTTGCCACACTGCTCAGAGGTGCTAAAATTACATGGACAGCAACCATCTTTAGCCTTGCCACAGTGCTCAGAGGTGCTCAAATTACATGGACAGCGACCATCTTTATCCTTGCCACAGTGCTCAGAGGTGCTCATATTACAGGGACAGCAACCATCTTTATCCTCGCCACACTGCTCAGAGGTGATCAAATTACATGGACAGCAACCATCTTTATCCTCGCCACACTGCTCAGAGGTGCTCATATTACATGGACAGCAACCATCTTTATCCTTGCCACAGTGCTCAGAGGTGCTCATATTACATGGACAGCAACCATCTTTATCCTTGCCACACTGCTCAGAGGTGCTCATATTACATGGACAGCAACTATCTTTATCCTTGCCACAGTGCTCAGAGGTGCTCATATTACATGGACAGCAACCATCTTTATCCTTGCCACAGTGCTCAGAGTTGATCAAATTACATGGACAGCAACCATCTTTATCCTTGCCACAGTGCTCAGAGGTGCTCAAATTACATGGACAGCAACCATCTTTATCCTTGCCACACTGCTCAGAGGTGCTCATATTACAGGGACTGCAACCATCTTTATCCTTGCCACAGTGCTCAGAGGTGCTCATATTACATGGACTGCAACCATCTTTATCCTTGCCACACTGCTCAGAGGTGCTCAAAATACATGGACAGCAACCAGCTTTATCCTTGCCACAGTGCTCAGAGGTGCTCAAATTACATGGACAGCAACCATCTTCATCCTTGCCACAGTCACCAGGGACGCTCAATTTCATCTGACAGCACGGATCTTTTTTCCTGTCACACTGAGCGTCACGTGTCGGGATTTCGCAAGGGGGTGAAACAGAATCCTCATCCCCATCACAGGAAGGGTGTCGGCATCCCTCACCGGAGCCCAGCTTGCCCCCACAGCCGCTCATACTGATTCAATATCTACGTTTGATAAAAAAAAGTTAAAGCAAAAAAATATGAGTTAATCCTCATAAAAGATTGTGATTCATAGCAGACAAAATGATTTGTGGGTTGTGCATCGTCTCCATAAGATCCGATCAAAAGTTCTCACGGATCTAGTCATGACCCACTTAAAGCATTTAAAGCTTCAGAAATAAAGCACATAATCACATGTTATCGATTAGTGTTTTATTACGTCAGAACCACATGTGTATTTTGGAATCAAGCCAACTCCTTGTTGTTGACATATTGTTAATTTAAAGCATTGTCGCCGAATATTGAAATTCAATCCAAACCAAAATTAGCGTTTGTTACTGTAATTGCAAAAATACTATTTTACTGCAAAGAGTCGAAATTTAATAGTGTTATAACTGTTTGAGACTTAGTCAGACAATTCGTTGAGGGATCAGATTATAGAACATTTTGGGTAACCATCTTCTATACTCGGCTAGAAGTAAAATAAAGCAAAAATGATATAAACAATCCAATTAAAGAGTAACATGTGGCCTAATGTAGAGTTATTGGTTTTTTTCATAAATGGTTTTGGCTTTGAACGCGCCACATAAATCTAGTTCATTATTTTGTATTTTCCAATAGATCTACCGCTCGAATACAAATTAAACAAAATATATTTCAAAAAAAAAAAAATAAAAAAAAAAAATCCAAAAAAAAAAAAAAAAAAAAAAAAAAATTCTCCAATTATTTGTTAGTAACAGTTTTCCTTCAATGGTGAGTTAGAATTTTTTATCAGCTTTTTGTGTATCCAATTAAAGAAAACGAAATCTTAAGGGTAAGGAAAAGAACTGTGGAAATTCCCTATATTTCAAGTAGTTCCAGGAACTTACCTTGTGGTATGTTGCCTGCTCTGTTGAATCTCTTTACTCCTTCAAGCACAACAACAACTGCTACAACTACAACCACAGCAGAGATTTGACCCGAGACCTGCACTAACTGGGGAGGGCATCGACCTGAAATGACCATGTCAGGAACTGCAGACATCAATCAGTCTTGGGACATGAAACAATACATGAACAACGCGGGACAGTTATTTCAATAATAATTTTGATTTAAAAATAACAATTGATTCGAAGTGTTCTGTATGCTTCATTATCAGTATGTTAAATGCCATACACACAATCTGACAACACGTGGTCGTTATAGATTTGAATTTACATTTAATAAATAAAACAAACTTGATGTTAAATCATGCTCCTCAGAACCGTCTGCCATGGGCGCCCGCAGAAAACTTTCTAGGGGGGGGGGCAAAATTGTTTTAGTAATGTTTTAATGTAGTTTTTATTTAATGTAGCGTATTTGTATGGTGAACGAACGGACAAGCCATCAGTTTAGTTACTTTCTCTTTATTTCCTCTTAACTTTACTCCATTTTTTGTCTATTTTTGTCTAAAAAATTTTTATCCAATCAATCCAGGGGGGGGGGGGCAAATGCCGCCCTTCTCCCCCCCCTTGCGGGCGCCCATGCCTTGTACCCCCATCTGTTTTGTAGATATAATTTATGCTCAAGGTCATTCAATGCATTGCAAGGTCGGTGATAATACTTTCGGACTGGCTCTGAGTACATCTCTGTCATTGATGCTCCTAAGGTAGTTTTGTTACTTTCTCTTTATTTCCTCTTAACTTTACTCCATTTTTTGTCTATTTTTGTCTAAAAAATTTTTATCCCATCAATCCGGGGGGGGGGGGCAAATGCCGCCCTTCTCCCCCCCCTTGCGGGCGCCCATGCCTTGTACCCACATCTGTTTTGTAGATATAATTTATGCTCAAGGTCATTCAATGCATTGCAAGGTCGGTGATAATACTTTCGGACTGGCTCTGAGTACATCTCTGTCATTGATGCTCCTAAGGGTTGATTTTAAATTGTCTTCCTTAACACTACATCACTCATTTATAACCATTCCTACCACTAAACTCTTCTTATCTCATATTCGTTTTTTTCTTTCCAATTTTTCTTTTTTTTTAAAATCTGACACCTTTTAGTGGGTGCTATAGAAAAATATTATTTTTAATGTTGAATAATGAATCAAGTATTCGTTAACTTACATTAAGTCTTTGAAAGCCAGGTTGAAGATCTGCATCAAATCAGCGGACTTTTGCCTCAAATTCCGTTGACGGGTGTCAGTGAACACGGGAGTAGGTCAATGAAACGGTCCTGCTGGAAATTGATAATGACCACCGCACGTGACACAAGATTGGTTCAAATCCTTAACCCTTGTGAAACTCTCTGTCTAAAGTTTGTATCTAACTCAAGCTATGGCAGTCTGCTTGTTTATATATCCACGTCAGCAAGTCGATATAAATATATATGATTTAAAAGAAAAATTACTTTTTGGCAATGCATTATCATTACTAATCATCACTATTTTTATTGGTACATTATTCACATAAACTCAAACGAGCAACGATTTCGTCCTTCCCGATATTCTTACAGCTGAGAATTTATTTTTGAACGAATGATTTTATGTCATGCTAGTTTGCTTATGTCATTTATTTTCTGAAGTAAGATTTAATAAAAGGGAAGCCATTCGTAATAATGTCATTTTTACCATTAGGGGGGGGGGGGGGTCCATTAATTCCGTAAACAAAAGGGGGG